ATTGTGGGTTCTGGAGCAGGAGAAGGCAACCCCCATGGGTGACTGAGAAGAGGTCAGCTGGCTGGAGTTCAGAGGAGGCTTTGAGTGAGAAGCCCATTGGGAGGCTGTTGAGTGACCGCAGCACAAGGGCCTGGGGCTGGTATAGTGGCAGTGAGAATGGAAAGGAATAGATACATGAGATGTTTCAAAAGAAAATAAACAAGCCCCAGAAACTGATTAGATGTGAGCAGAGGGGTATAGGACAAAGGCAGGTGGCTTCTGGCAATAGGACTCTTGAAGAAAAATGGTATCAGCAACAAACATGTGAGTTGGAAAGGAGATGCCGCTTTGAGGAAAGAACATGAATTTGGACTTTTTTGTAGTGGGAATAAAACATTAAAGTGGAAATGTCTTGCTGGCAGTTCGATTCCAAGTTGGAAAAAGGTTGAAATAACAAAATTAGAGATAGAAGAGCAAACCTGGACTAGAGCAGCCATTGTAGGCAGGGGGAATGGAAAAGTTGTCACTGAGACAGGAGGCACACCCTCAAATGCCATGTCCCAGCAGCATAGGCACAGGAAGTTTCAAACAGGAGGGGGTCATTAATGGTGACAGTAATAATGTAGGAGTATATTTTATAGACATGGAAAGATGGTCATGCCATATTTTTAGGAGGGAGAGATTGCTGCTGGTCTGCATTCAGCAGGTCAGACCTCCTTGGGGGTAGGAGTAGATATCCTGAGTCTCATTTTGTCCCTTTCGTAGTTTCCCTGAGCCTTCCTGTCACACTTCTCCAACCTGGGCCCCCAGTCCCTTGGTGCTCCTTTCTTAGGGACTCTGGCCCTGTGTCCTCAGGTGCATTATCTGCAACGCCCCATTGCCCTGTGGTGTGGCCTCAATCACTCCTTGGTGCTGAGCCAGGGCTCGGACTTCAGCAAGGAGCTGCTGGGCTGCGGCTGTGGGGCTGGAGGCCGCCTCCCTGGCTGGCCTAAAGGGAGTGCCTCCTTCGTCAAGCTCCATGTCAAGGTCAGAACAGGGTCAGGCATGTGGGAAACCAGGGAGGGCAGGTATCCCATAGGACTGTAGCTGGGGCTCCTCCAGAGACCCAGGGACCCCATTTCCTTAGCACCACCCACCTCCCTTTCCTGCTAGGCACCATGGCTCCTGGTTCTCGCCCTTAACAGATCCTGCTGGCCCTCTCTGACTTCACATAACCTTGGGACTCAGCTCACTTGATGGCTCAGGGCTGGTCTGAGAGGGCGGAGCACAACAGCTGGGCTTCGTGGGAACCCCTCAGTGAAGGCCTCACTCAGACACGCCTTTTCTCTTCTTCAAGGTCCCTTTGTGTGCTTGCTCCCTCTGCTCTACCAGAGAGTGTCTCTATATGCTGTCCAGCCATGACATTGAGCACCATCCCGCCTATCGAGACCTACCAGCCAGCAGGGTGGTAGGGACTCCTGAGCCTGACCCAGGGTCCGTAGCACCCCAGGACCCTGGGGGGACAGCTCAGGCCTGTGAGGAGTACCTCAGCCAGATCCACAGTTGCCCCACGTTGCAGGACCGCATGGAAAAAATGAAGGAGATCGTGGGTTGGATGCCCTTGATGGCTGCACAGAAGGATTTCTTCTGGGAGGCCCTGGACATGCTGCAGAGGGCTGCTGGAGGGGTTGGCCAAGACCCCCCAACCCCTGAGAGCTGACCCCCCTCTCCTAGTCTCACTCCTGGAGGGAGAGTCTGGCCCTGGGCCGAAGGCTAAGGAGAGATGGAGTGGGAGCAATGAACACTGTGTGTGTGCATGGGGAGGGGTTCGCAATGGGGTGGGGACTGCTAGACATGCCAGAGTGGGCAGGGAACTATTTTATAAAATGTTCAGGGGGCTGCCCAGGAGGGGCCCCCAAACTGACTATCATGGACAAGAGATTTGATGGACAAATAGAATAAAAGGCTGAAGTGAGCCACAGTTTGGAACCCTGGGGCCTGGGAAGACAATGGGGTAGGGGGACCCTGATGCCTGATTCAGTGGGCAAAGGAGGGCAGGAGCATGGACAGGGGCAGGCAGAGCAGAAGTGGCTTAAACTTTCAGGTGCTATAGAGTTGACAGCACCTGACTCCTTCAGTTTGCTTTCCCCTTCCACTTCCAAAACCCGACCTAATCTTCTTGACTAGAAGTCCTAGCCCCACCTTCTGGCATAACTCCTTCAACATATGCTACTTGGTGCCCCAACTTGGATCCTCTTATTCCCATTCCGAGGAAGACACTTTGGACTTCAGAAAGTTTCCTACCTCT